AGGAAGGAAGGAAGGAAGGAAGGAAGGAAGGAAGGAAGGAAGGAAGGGATATACCCACGTATGACACAGTGAAACAATACAGTCTAGTTAGTTCGGATGTATACATGTACATGGCAAGAAAAATGAATCTTGCAAGTTTACCAGACGGACGGCACACGGAACAAAGCTGTTAGAGAAATATTTATTATTTATTTATTTGCAAAATAATCTAAGCATATTTATTGGCAAAGTAATATGAGAGTCGGTTTGGTGTAGCAGTTAGGCTAGAAACAGAGAGACCATAAGCATTATTCCCCACCTTAAGACAGAAAGCCAGCAGTGATGACCTTGGGCCAGTCCCTCTCTCCCAAACCTGGAAGAACCAGCAATGGCAAACTACTTCTGACATCTTGCTAAAAAAAACAAAACTGCAGAGACCTGTCCCGGCAAGTTGCCAGGAGTAAACAGTGCCTCAAATGTTATATATGTTTCTGTATATGTATGTATGTATGTATGTATGTATATATATACATACATACACCCCAAAATACAATTCACCATGGAAACAGAAGCCAACAATCAACTTCCTTTCCTAGATGTCTTGGTATACAAAAGATCCAATGGCTCCCTAGGACACACCATCTACCAGAAGAAAACACAAACTAACCGCTATCTACATGCACTCTCACACCACCACCCAGCACAGATCAATTCCGTAGCCAAGACACTCATCTCCAGAACAAAATGCTTAGCCGATGAACAACACCAAAAAACCGAACTACACACTCTCACCAACGTACTTACAGCCAATGGATTCCAAAGAAAGAAGATTACCCACCTAATCCAAAAAGAAACCCCAACCAAAATCCAAGACAGAGAACAAGAAAACGGCAAAGCCCTCCTCCCATATATAAAAGGCACTACAGACAAAATTAGCAAGATCCTCCAAAAACACAACATCAAAGCAGCATTCTGCACAAACAGAAAAATATCCACCATCCTAAGAAACCCCAAAGACAAAATCGAATTAGAAAACCAAGGAGTATACGAAATCCCCTGCACTGCCTGCCCTACCACATACATTGGACAAACTAACAGAAGAATAAATGCACGCATTGAAGAACATAAGAACTCAATCAAAAAAGAAGAAACGACCTCTTCCCTGGTCCAACACCTCAAAGCCACAGGACATGAAATTGATTTTAAAAATACCAGAACCATCGCCAAAACCGAACACTTCAACAGCAGAATAATCAGAGAAGCCATAGAGATAGAAAAACGCCCACACAGCATGAACAAACGAGATGACACCTCCCGCCTTCCAGCCATTTGGAAACCCGCCCTCATGAACAGACGAGTACCTAACATGAAGAAGGACACCAGACCCACACCCATGAGAGCCACACAAGATGCCACCACCACACTTCCATGTAGAAAACAGACTCACACCCACTCAGAAGATGAGACACGACCATGGACCAGAAGCTGCACTGCAGCTGCATCACTACCCACTTCAAACCCCTCCGAGCCATACATGAAGCAAACCGACACCCACTATGAAGATGCAGCACGACCACGAACTCGAAGCCAAACAGCAAGATCACAACTCACCAGCTCAAATCCCCCAGCAACTAAGACTAACCTGAGCACAACCAAGCCCCCATCTGAACAGAACACGCCTCCAACCAATCAGAACACGGCTAACCCCCCAACCAATCAGAACACAGCCAAACCCCCTACCAATGAGAACACACCTCCACCCAATCAGAACACAGCCAAGCCCCCACCCAATCAAGTCCCACCCCCACTGGCAGTTAAAAGGAGGAAGCAGCTGCAATCTCACATTACTCTGAGAAGCACAGAGCCGGAGACAGAAGCCTGAAGATGATGAATGTGACTTCATCGAAACGTTGCCTAGATACTTCGAATCTTACGCGGGAGAAAACCCGAACAACCAAAGATCCACATATATATATATGTGTGTGTGTGTGTGTGTGTGTGTGTATGCATATATGTGTGTGTATATATGTGTGTGTGTATATATATGTATATATAAACGTATGTGTGGTATTCAGCTTTGTTCGGGTATTTTCCCAGTCAATATATTGTGCTTTTAAAGTTGTAGCAACGTTTTGACAGAATCTCATCTGCCATCATCAGGCTTCTGTATTGTGTTCGTCTGTGAGTGTATGTGTATGTGTATATGTATATATGTATGTATATATGTATGTATGTATGTATGTATGTATATATATGTGTGTTTGTGTGTATCTACAACACCTAGACACAAGAAGTTTTTTCCCAAATGCCATTCACTCTGCTAAACAATTCCCTCCTTGTATCCGTATGATTTATATGGACTGTTTCCTAGTATGATTTGATTGCTTAATTGTACCCTAGGACGATCATTAAGCGTTGTACCTGATGATTCTTGATGAACGTTTCTTTTCTTTCACGTCCACCGAGAGCATATGCACCAAGACAAATTCCTTGTGTGTCCAATCACACTTGGCCAATAAAAGAATTCATATTCATATCTATACAGACACGCATATACGTATATAATAACAAAGCAAAATAAAACCACCACTCACAACCACTCTCTCGGCACCCAGTTTTAACACATACACATACACACACACACACACACACAGACCCTCTGTTCCCCCACTGCCAGTTGCCAAGCTCCATTTCCAAAGGAAAAAAACCCCACACACCTGTATTGTTTGGTGTTGGGGTTATTCTTGTTTTTGGCTCCCCTTTTAACACCTCCTTTGCCTTTGATAGCTTCTGCGGTGGGTTCCTCCTCACCCACCCACCCCAATTCCCAGCCTAGCCTGGAGTCCCCAGAACTCCCATCAAAATACTGACCAGGACCATCCTTAAGTTTTGTTGTTTCCAGATGGGACCAGCCAAAGTGAGCTCGGAGGCACGAGCTGCAGTGCTTCCATGGGTTGAGGCCCCTTGCAAAGTCACAGCCAACCCCACTCCTATCTCACCCTCTCTCTCTCTCTCTCTCTCTTCCCCAAGGGTCTTCTACAGACCCTGAAGGTCCCCCCCTTCACCCCTGGCCGGTCTCTCCTAGGCCTCCCTCCCTCCCCTCACCCGCCAACCCTTGCCCCATTTTGCACCCATACGCCTATCTCTGCAACCTGCGCCCAGGTGTATCTCTCTGCCCACCAGGTACATCCATATCCATATCCATACATACACATACATATACATATACATACACATACATACATACATACACACACACACACATCAGCATCGACGTCATCCTTATTTATAGGCACGTTGTAAACCTTGCACATCTGCTTTGGTTTTTGTTTTTGTTTTTGTTTTGGTCCTCACCTGCCGCCCTCAGTTCAGCTTCCCCCGCCCCGCCCCTCCCCCACCCCCTCTAACCGGGCCGCTACCGCTCCACCTTCTTCCGGGACTAGCCGAGGATTCCCGTCGGCCCCCGCGGCACTCCGGAAGTGCAACCGACCAAGCCGCTCTAGCCGGCGAGTTTTTTGTTTTGTTTTGTTTTTTTCCCTTCCCCGCCTCGCTCGCTCTACGCGCGGATTGGGCCGCCCTGCGTTCGGTGGTAGCCAATAAAAACGCAGGGCTGGGGAGGAGAGGGCGGGGATTCGAGTTGGAGCGACAGGAGAAGGGCGGTTCTTTGAATGCTTTTATTAAATTAAAGCTAAATTGTTGCAGAGGGTGGCTCTTTCGCAGGACTTCCTTTTTTCTTTTCTTTTTTTGCGTGGAGGGGGGGGAGTTGCTCCAGAGCAGGAGAAAAAAAAAAATAACATATGATATCGAACGAGTATAGATGCATCTTTAAGATATTTAAGGCATTTGTTGTGTGCAGGCTTCCAAGCCTGCATTAGCAGTAGACTAAATGCATTAGTCTAATTTAAGAGACTTAGGTGCAGGTGGGACGTCTAGTCTCGTAGATACACACAGCTTTTAAAAGAGAATTGCTTTGCCAAGTAAAACTATTTCCGTTTGGAGGCTGTTCTAACGACAGAGAGGTGAGTAACGCCTTTACAATGTGTCCCCAATGTGTTAATACTGCAGGTCCAGAGAGGGGAATTCAACTTTAGGCTGAACTCCCAAGTCAAACCCCTCACATTAAAATGCAGAAGTTTCTTGTCCCTTAGCCATGCTGAGGTTTATTGTGACCTCATCAGTTCAACCTGTTGTGGGTAGTCACTTAAGCTGAACTCAGGGCCACGAAGGACAACTTTTTGCTTTTGATAAATACAGTATGTTTACACTTGTTTTCCAATATGCTGAAAGTTAATTTTTAAAAAAATCCTTGTATGATGTACTTAAGAGAGAATGGCCAACCAACAAGGGAATACAGAGGTTCAACTGTGTTTTGGAGTCATACTTTAGGGGAACGGAGCCAAGGTTGATGGAAGATGAAATTAAAGAATATGAAGTGTCCCTATTTTATTCTTTAATTTTCTACTTATTGTACTAGCAGCAGTGCTTGTTGTGGTCCGCCGGCAGCCAGCAAAGTTGGCAGCAGAGTCGGACAGTGGGGAGGAACAAGGGCCAGTCCAGGAGTCTAGGAAGGCCTTGGACAAGGGTCCTGCATCCGATGCAGAGATGGGGCCAGGGCCTTCTGGGAGTTATGTGCTGACTCCGGAGCCTCCAGAATCTGGCAGCAGTGAGGCAGAGGAACAAGGGGAGCCTATTCCCAGTGTGCGCATGCGCAGAGCTGACAGAAGGCAACAGTTAAGACAAAAAAGGGAGTAAGGCTTGGAGGTGATTGGCCCTCCCATAAGACATAAAGGAGGAGCAAAAGGACAAGAGCCTTTGCAGGAAGCAACTTTGTTTGTACTGGTCGGTTTGAAACCTGAAGCTCTGTGTTGAATTTGTGCTCTGGCTGGCCTTGTATAACTAATTGGAAATTTAGTTGTTGGCAGCATTTCAAGGAAGATAAAGGTGCGTGCTTATCAGACTTATCCCGAAGGACTTTGGCAGACTTCCATGGGACTATTACAAAGTAATAGTAATTATGGGCTGTGAATGACTAAAAATTCTCAGCGGTTCAAATAAAGAAAAAAGGGGTTTGGGACTAACATGTGTTTGTTACTGTCTCAATAAGCCTTGGTCAGAACAGCGCCAACTCTCTCAGCCTTGCCCCTCAATATGTTGCCAGTGGACTGGCTCCTGGATTTTATCCAAATTGGCCTTAGCAGAATAAGAGAGTTGGAAGGGACCTTGGAGGTCTTCTAGTCGAACCCCTTGCTCAAGCAGGAGACCCTATAGCATTTCAGACAAATGGCTATCCAGTCTTTTCTTAAAAACCGCCAGTGTTGCTGCACCCACAACTTCTGGAGGCAGAACTCAGCTAACCAAACACTGTCTGCAGCCGTTGGTGTTGCTAGCCTAGCTAATAGGAGCAGAGCAGGAGGCCTTGGAGCTGAGATATTTGCCGGACTGACCCACCTGACAAGAATTATCCTGGATCATATGGATGTGAAAAGTTGGTGGTGGTGCTTGCTACTGAGAAATCTTTCTGTCCCCTGTGCTCTGCAGAGGCAAAGTCTGCCCAAAATTACCTTCCAGAGGATGACGAAAAACCTCTTTTGGAAAGCTCCTTTAATTAGCAGATTGATGCTCCCATTAGACTGTATGTGGCTCCAGATGCTTTTTTCTGGCTGTGGTTGATTTTATGGATTACTATGTGTGCTATGGATTGTTGTCAGTTGCATTGCACATTGCTGAGAGTCTTGATGGTGGCAGTGATAAGCATGTAAGAAAGAAATAATGATATAAAGAAGATTCACCAGCACTGTCAATCATTTCCTGAAGAAAGTAGGTGGAGACTTTTTGTTCCTAATGGGCTATTTTTGACCCAGGAGTGTAGTTTTGGCCAGAATTTAGAGGTCAGTGGCGTAGTGATTAGAGTGCAGTACTGCCGGCTACTTCTGCTGATTGTCGGCTGCCTAAAATTTGGCAGTTCGAATCCCACCAGGCTCAAGGTTGACTCAGCCTTCCATCTTTCCAAGATGGGTAAAATGAGCACCCCAAATTATTGAGGGCAAAGTGTTGACTCTGTAAGCCGCTTAGAGACGGCTGTAACGCACTATGAAGCGGTATATAAGTCTAGGTGCTATTGCTATTGTTCTTCCTTCTTTCCGCCCACTGCCAGCAGTTCAATCCTGACTGGCTTAAGGTTAACTCATCCTTCCATCCTTCCAAGATGGGTAAAATGAGGATCCAGTTTGTTGGGGGAATAGGATGACTCTGTAATCTGCTTAGAAAGGGGGCTGTAAAGCATTATGAAGCAGTATATAAGTCTAAGTATATTGCTATTGCTCTTCCTTCCTTCCTTCCTTCCTTCCTTCCTTCCGCCCACTGCCAGCAGTTTGATCCTGACTGGCTCAAGGTTGACTCAGCCTTCCATCCTTCTGAGGTGGGGAAAATGAGGATCCAGATTGTTGGGAGCGATAGGCTGACTCTGTAAACTGGTTACAGAAGGCTGTGAAGCACCGTGAAGCGGTATATAAGTCTAAGTGCTGTTGCTATTGCTACTAAACATGTTGTGGGAATCAGGGTTTTTTTTTTCCCTTTCTGTCTTTCTCTCTTTTATTAATTTGTTTTTGCTACAAGAGGTCAACACAATTTTGCAATTTGCCTTGAAACAATGTTTGACATTTATAGGGAAGGCAGGCAAGATCTTGTCTCTGGAGGGAAGCGATGTCCTTTCGCTTGGTTATGCTCCCATTTGTTTGCTGTGGTACAGTGTTGGTTGCCTTGGAGATCTTAGAAAGAAATTAGGGTGTGCAGCTAGCATTCTAGCTAGGTCAGTAAAATTCCGGGTTGGTTGCAACCTATAGATTCAATCAGCCCACTCCACTATGCTGTCTCCCAAGTTATGCCATCCATGCAAAAATAGGTATGTGGGCAAAGACTTGGATTTTGCAGTCAGAATATAATTGGATGGATAACTGAGAAAGGCTGAGACAGAAGGATAGTTTTGCCTATGATTAACCAGAATGAGAGATTCCTGAGTTAATTCGATTTTGAAGAGATTGCTGGTCCACAGTCTAACCCAGAGGTCTCCAAACTTGGCAATTTTAAGACTTGTGGATTTCAACTCCCAGAATTCTCCAGCCAGCTATGGGAGTTAGTCCACAAGTCTTAAAGTTGCCAAGTTTGGAGACCCCTGGTCTAACCACATGGGCTGCATTCACATGAGGCTAAAATATGGTTGACTTGTCTGTGCTGGGGAATTCTGGGAGTTGAAGTCCACCTGTCTTAAAGTTGCCAAGATTGGGAAGCCTTAATCTATGGGATGGATCATAAGTATTGCAGTCTCAATTAACAGGCAGAGTACTGCTTAACCCATTTTCAAAAGTTTAAGGGGTAAATGTTGCTTGAATGTTGAATACAGGTGAAACTCAAAAAATTAGAATATCATACAAAAGTTTATTTCAGTAAACTTTTCAATTAGAATATCATACAAAAGTTTATTTCAGTAATGCAACTTAAAAGGTGAACCTAATATATGAGATAGACTCATTACATGCAAAGCAAGATAGTTCAAGCCGTGATTTGTCATAATTGTGATGATTATGGCTGACAACTCATGAAAACCCCAAATCCACAATCTCAGAAAATTAGAATATTACTTGCAATCAATAAAATAAGGATTGTACATAGAACAATATGGGACCTCTGAAAAGTATAAGCATGCATATGTACTCAGTACTTGTTTTGGGCCCCTTTTGCAGCAATTACTGCCTCAATGCGGAGTGGCATAGAAGCTATCAGCCTGTGGCACTGCTGAGGTGTTATGGAAGACCAGGATGCTTCAATAGTGGCTTTCAGCTGTTCTGCATTGTTCGGTCTCATGTCTCTCATCTTCCTCTTGGCAATGTCCCATAGATTCTCTATGGGGTTCAGGTCAGGCGAGTTTGCTGACCAATGAAACATAGTAATCCCAAGGTCATTGAACCAGGTTTTGGTGCTTTTGGCAGTGTGGACAGGTGCCAAGTCCTCCTGGAAAATGAAGTCAACATCCCCATAAAGCTCGTCTGTAGAAGGAAGCATGAAGTGCTCCAAAATCTCCAGGTAGACGGCTGCGTTGACCCTGGATTTAATGAAGCACAGTGGACCAACACCAGCAGATGACATGGCTCCCCAAATCAGCACAGACTGTGGAAACATCACACTGGACTTCAAGCATCTTGCTTTGTGTGCCTCTCCATTCTTCCTCCAGACTCTGGGTCCTTGGTTTCCAAATAAGATGAAAAAGTTGCTCTCATCAGAAAAGAGGACTTTGGACCACTGAGCAACAGACCAGTTCTGTTTTTCTTTAGCCCAGGTAAGATGCTTCTGAAGTTGTTTGTTGTTCAGGAGCGGCTTGACAAGAGGAATACGACATTTGAAGCCCATGTCCAGGATCCGTCTGTGTGTGGTGGCTCTTGATGCACTGACTCCAGCCTCAGTCCACTCCTTGTGAAAGTCCCCAACACTTTTGAATGGCCTTTTCCTGACAATCCTCTCCAGGCTGTGGTCATCCCTGCTGCTTGTGCACCTTTTTCTTCCACACTTTTCCCTTCCACATAACTTTCTATTAATGTACTTTGATACAGCACTTTGCGAACATCCAACTTCGTTTGCAATTACTGTTTGAGGCTTTCCCTCCTTATGGAGGGTGTCACTGATGGTTTTCTGCACAACTGTCAGGTCAGCAGTCTTTCCCATGATTGTGATTCCTACTGAACCAGACTGAGAGACCATTTAAAGGCTCAGGAACCCTTTGCAGGTGTTATGGCTTAATTAGCTGATTAGAGTGGGACACTTTGAGCCTAGAATATTGAACCTTTTCACAATATTCTAATTTTCTGAGATTGTGGATTTGGGGTTTTCATGAGCTGTAAGCCATAATCATCACAATTATGACAAATCACGGCTTGAGCTATCTTGCTTTGCATGTAATGAGTCTATCTCATATATTAGGTTCACTTTTTAAGTTGCATTACTGAAATAAATGAACTTTTGCACGATA